GGGACTACAGGCACGCGCCACCATGCCCAGCTAATTTTTTGTATTTTTAGTAGAGACGGGGTTTCACCATGTTGACCAGGATGGTCTCGATCTCTTGACCTCGTGATCCACCCGCCTCGGCCTCCCAAAGTGCTGGGATTACAGGCTTGAGCCACCGCGCCCGGCCCAGTGGAGTTTTTTTAACCCTATAATACTTAAAGGGAAAGTTCATTTTCTTAAATGTTAATGTATAAATTCAGTTTTATGATTCTAACTTTTAAAAAATTTTTTCATGTTTAATCAATAGCAATATGACATCAGTACATTTAAGTAAGCTTTCACTTGTATTATTAATTTTGGTTATGAGCTTTCTCTTTATAATTTTTTAACATATTTAATTCAATCTAGAACCAAAATTAGATCTAAAGTGGACCAAGACCAATAGATTGACTCACTGAGAGAAATTATTTAGAGATTGTATTGAAGAAGCAACAAATGGTACTAATCTCAAGCATACAACAGATTTTAGGCACTAACACAAAACTAATTTTTCCAAATATTACTAATATTAATTAGATATCAGCAGACATTTTCCTAAGAAAAATAGTTTATATTTTTCCTGAGAAACGTTTGCACAATCAGGGGCAAATATAGGTGCCCCTTATAGAACAACAACAACAAAACTTAGTTTTCTTGCATCAAATATGGTTTATTTTCTACTTGACCAGTCATCACAGAATCCATAGTATGTGCCCTTCCGATAATGCTTTTTGTTCCATGAGCGATGAAATGCAAATGTTGATACTGTCCAATAGTAAAGCAATATAGGAAGTTCTTCCTCTGCTAAAAGAGAGCTGTTTTGAGACTATTTACAATGCATAGTCCCCCTAATAGTCAATAGCTGGCTGGCATCTGAAAGGGGAGTTGAATAGAGTTCTATCTCTGCTCAATATAATAAAATTTTTTAAAGTAAGTCCTAGATCTGGTGGTATTTAAAATATTTACCAATAAGCTACTTTTATAATCTGTGCTTACTAAATTCTTCCTAAAACTGGATCATGAGGGGGGTAACATACTGAAGAAATAGATTAAAAATTGAAAGAACTCTGTGCTACAGCCTACAGTAGCTTAATGAAAAACGTTTTTTTATTTAAAGGGAAGGGAGAAAATATGAAATGGGAGAGAAAAAGAGACATATTGGAGAAAGAGAAAAGTTAGACAGAAAAGGGAAAAAAAGGAGGCACACAAAAGTAGACACAAGGAAGAAAAATGGGTCATTTCCAGAGATAGATACAATTATTTAGTGTGCTATATTATGATTACTCTCGTGTTTTGATTTCCTGAAAGAACTACTACAGATTTTTCAAACCTGTATTATTAATAAAATGTATTTCCTTTTTTCTTCATAGATGGCTATGTCCTTCGGAGTTATCTAGTGGACAAGTAAGCCCATTTTCTTTTACTACTATGCATGTGAAAAGAATTTTGTGCCTTTCTTTGAAAAAGATTTCTAATCTTATTTAAATAACATAACCTACTAAACTATCATAAACAAATTTGAAAACAATATGCTATACTAATGTTAACATGTTAGTATCTGCAATAAAGTTAAGGTTTTCATAAAGTGCTACTCTTAAATAGGCAAGAAGCCCTTCTCATTTAAAATTATATAGCTCACAGTTAATAGTTTTCTATATTCATTAGGCTCTCAGCAAACACTGAAGACAGACAAGTCAAAGCCACTAACCTTTTCATTAATACTTTGCATTTTACTTGCTAATGCAATTGGTTGAATGCAATTAATTTGGGACCAATTATTGAGTTCACTGTAGGTGCTAATATTACCTGTTAACAGTTCATAGTTTAGCCCTTAATTAAGGGCTTTGCTTCACTCATACTAGGCATAGTAGAGTACTATGTTGCCTTTTTTGGAAGCATGCCAGAAAAAAAGATAATAGTCAATGATTCTTCTATTCTTATGAATAAGACATTGTGACAGTCTGTCACAGTCTGGTACTAGTGTGTCTCTGGAATCCCCCAAAACATAAGATTCTGTCCCAAGTAACCCATTGCAAGAAATGAACTCCATTGTCAGGTTAGGTAACATGCCAATGCAAAGATTTACAGAACTCAGTTCAATGAAAAGATCCAGGAGAAGTCACAAACTGTGTATCCGTCACAGCCTGACACCAATCAGAAAAAGACAAATCAGTGTGAAGGCTTTGTTGGCAAACTAGTGAAGGCCAAAGAAAAATAATCATAACACCTTTGTTCTCAGCACATTAATCACAGTGGGAGGCATGAGACTTTCATAGATTTTGTTCTATGAAAGATACAAAGTTTAAGGACAGAATGTGTAGCAAATAATAGGACAACATCTTCATCAGTGATTATTACAGGCTGATTGAGAGAATTTAGAAAGGACACTGCAGTAATTGTTGGTTCACCACTATTGAAGCGAACACTTAATAAATGTTTATCGTATAAATGACAGAAAAATCTGTCCTTGTTGCATTTGGATGAGATTTCCGTTAGCCAAACCCACCCTCCTTCCATCTCAGCGAAAAGATCCAAACAGAAGACATAGGGAACTCACAACATCTGCCATACTTGGCAGCAGTTTGAAGGGCCTGCTGCTGCTTCCATGATAAAGCACAGAGATTGTACAGCGAGGAGTTGGTCTGGTCTAAGAGACAAAGCCACCCTGCATTTCTGAACTTTAGAAGTATATCTTACATTTCAAGGGAATATTCATGTTTGTAATACTCTCGATTTTATTTCTTATATAATCTCCTGTTTGATTATAAGGTCTCATATTTATGTCTCCTGGTACATAGAAGGGACTCAGTATGTGTGTTGGATGGAAAATATCACAAAGATTCAGGGCCAGGCAAAACCTAAAATGTGTAAAAGTAGCAAAAGTGCTATTATGGATGCTGCCTACAATCATAAGTAATAGTTTTAAAATTACATAAGAGTCACCATAAAAATCATATCTTGGCTACATATTCTGTAACTAATATTTATATATTTTATCATATGTATGAGTTATAATTAGAAACGTGAAAATGATGAAGCCATTTCCTATGCCAATTATTATTGTATTTCATTCACCATTTGCAATTCAAGTGAAAGTATGAATCTGATATTAACACATACTGCAGCTTTGAATTAAAGCCTGCAATGGGAGTATTACTTCATGATGTTCAGTACATTGTTAACAAACATGTCTTGCAAAGATGAGTAAGGCATAGTCTGTGCTCTTGAAGCATGTTTAATTATTCTGTATGTAAAATGAAACAGAGGATTAGATTAAGTCAATGAAAGAAGAGATAATATCAAATTTGTTTATACTTATAAATGCATACTATGCTTAACAAGCCTTAAATTGTGTCATATAAAATCATATTGTTACTCTTTTCTTCTATGTATTGCTCTAGTGCTAAGAAGATAGTTTCTTTAAGATAAAAATTATTTTTTACATTTACAGTGATGGAGAGATCTATGATGATATTGCTGATGGTAAGTCTTATATAATACCACCACAGAGAACAGTAACAGTGAATTTTCTGTTTTTGCAAATACTAAAAATAGCTTGTTGGATTAGAGACTTCCAATGTGATCAGAATTTGAATCACCTGAAAATAGAAAAGGTAAATGCCCTGGCATAAGGAGGGGGAAATATCACATTTCCCACAAGGTGGGAAATTAAGGGAAAACCTCATTTGTTTTCTTTGAGAACAGAAGTATGAAAATAATTGGTAAATTTTTCATTGTACTGTGAATCATAATAAGAATTTCTTTTATCCAAATAAATAAGCATTTTTGGCAAATAAAGAGGTACCTATTTCATAATCAGGAATGCTAATATTCTCTAAGCATCATATAGTTCCAAACTGTAATCTAAAAAATTAATCCAGTTGAAATGGTGCATACTGTTGACCATGATGCCCTTTAGTCTTTTAAACTTATAATTCTTGCTCTTTAATATCTTCAACCTCATTCAGAGTGACTACCAAAAAGTATGTCTGATTAAGTGTCACATAAAATAATCTTGTCTCATTTTAATAGAGAATAAATCCATCCAGATGTTTTGTTGGAATTATATACTAAATAAAAAAAGTTAAATATATGGCCTTCCATTTAACTCATTTTTTATAAAGTGAGCCAGTTTTTTTTTTTTTTTTAATCCTTAGCCAGGACAGGATGAAACACTCATATTTCTGAACTTGGAATACTTAGTATGTTTTTTATAACAATATTTAAATTTGTACTTTTTTCTTTCAGGTTGTATATATGACAATGACTAGCACTCAACTTTGGTCATTCTGCTGTGTTCATTAGGTGCCAATATGAAGTCTGAATTTTAATTGGCATGTTATTGGGTATCAAGAAAATTAATGCACAAAACCACTTATTATCATTTGTTATGAAATCCCAATTGTCTTTACAAATTTTTAAATTTTGAGCATAGAAAATGATCTTTCTGCTTAGTTGCTATCTCAGAAGACTACATTAGTGAGGTGTAAGAATTATTAAATATCCCATTTCTGCTTTGGCTACAATTATGAAGAATTTGAAGATACTTCTTTTAGACCATCAATAAGTAATCCCCCTTCAAAAAATAAAAAGAAAAGAAAAAGGAAAAGCATTCAAGAAGAAATGACCTGTCTAAAAAACCTAAGGAAGAATAATAATATATGGAAGGAAATTTTAAAACATTCCACAAAAGAAAAATTATTGTTTCTACTTCTAATTATGATTATGCCTTATAGTCTCTATTCAAATGACCTGTCTTTTAAAAAGGCAGTGCTGTTTTTTCTCTTGCTTGTGGGTTAAATGTTTTAAAAAATTATAGCAGTAGTAGAACTTTTGTATAAAATTTGCCCCTATTTGGCAATTGTATATATATGTTAATTATTTGATATGAATGTTATGCATTTAGTATGCACATTGAAGTCTAAACTGTAGAAGAGTCTGAAACAAGTTCTCTTTTTGCAGATTCACATGCTAACGGTTTAATTCTATGCTCTGTTTAAAGTACTCTTATAACTAGAGTAGATCTGAATGAGGACAATCCTAAAATTATGAGGAGTGGAAGAATGGACCTTGAAACTAACTAGGCTTTTATGGCACAGCACCTTTTTATAATGAAGACACTTTTTAAAGTTTTTGTTTCAATTACTGCTACATTTTGTTTTCTTTATATTCTTTCTTTCTTTTTTTCGGGGGGGGGCCAGGGGAATGGAGTCTCACTCTGTTGTCCAGGCTGGAGGGCAGTGATGCGATCTCAGCTCACTGCAACCTCTGCCTCCCGGGTTCAAGCGATTCTCCTGCCTCAGCCTCCCGAGTAGCTAGGACTATAAGCACCTATGACCATGCCCAGCTAATTTTTTTGTGTTTTTAGTAGAGACAGGTTTCACCCCTTAGCCAGGATGGTCTCAATCTCCTGGCCTCATGATCCACCCACGTCAGCCTCCGAATTTTTCTCCTAAAAAAAAAATATTTTACTGGAAAGTTGGCCAGCAGAGGAAGTAGAAATTATTAAAACTCTAGTATTTGGATTGGGCCATTCCCTATCAGGAGTTACTCATTTCCAAAGCAATCCAAAAACAAAATGTGAAGCATTTGGGTTTCAAATGCTAAGAACACTAAATAGCAGGATTTAAAGAATGGAAAACCCTAACACCCAAGAAAATAATACAATAAGTAACTTTTTAACAACTTCTAAAGTACAAAATGAGCAAATTCTAATGCCGGCTCTTCCACTAATGAACCAGGATGTGATATTGACTAAATTATTTATCTTCTCAGTCTTCTCATCTGTAAATTACAAGATTAAACTAAGTAAGTTTTTCCAACTCTTCACTACCAATTATCTTAGGCTTTTATAATGCCCCCCCTAATTTAGTCCCATGTTTCAGAAGCTTTTGTCTATTTTTTAAACTCATCGATTAAATAATGATTAATGCATTCTCCACATTTTAATATTGCAAAGACCCACTGGAGTTTCTGAAGCAGCTCCACAAAACTGAAATAATTTCAAATAACTGTAAAGGAACTGAAAATCTTCACACAGATGAAGTGGGATTTCTATTAGGTACTTTGAAATTTGATAATAAACCATCAACTTCCACTGGTAAATATATATATTTTGGGTGTCTGAGGCCCTCCAGATTAGAAGCTACTAATCTCCAAAGATTCTCTCCAATTATGAAATACTTTGATGTCTACTTTTAGATAGTATTAGTCAGTATATGACCATGTAATGAATTTCTTTTCATACTAGACGAAATTACCTGGTTCAAAAGTGGTTTTTGTTTATTAAATTTGGTAGTACATGTATATATAATACACAGATAGGATAGTTTTTATGCTGAAGTTTTTGGCCAGCTCTAGTCTGAGGACATGCTGATAACCTTGCTGAACCTTCAGAGTGCTCTGAAACACTTCCAACCATCCTTCCTCTCACCTTCAATGGGGCAGACTTGCATTGCAGTCTGCCAGTAATTTTTTTTCTGATTGAGGATTACATAAATTCAATACTCTGCCAGTTTTTAAAAGTTGAATTTGGCCAGGCGCGGTGGCTCAAGCTTATAATCCCAGCACTTTGGGAGGCCGAGGCGGGTGGATCACAAGGTCAAGAGATCAGGACCATCCTGGCCAACATGGTGAAACCCCGTCTCTACTAAAAATACAAAAAATTAGCTGGGCATGGTGGTGCATGCCTGTAATCCCAGCTACTCAGGAGGCTGAGGCAGGAGAATTGCCTGAACCCAGGAGGCGGTGGTTGCGGTGAGCCGAGATCGCGCCATTGCACTCCAGCCTGGGTAACATGAGTGAAACTCCGTCTCAAAAAAAAAAAAAAAAGTTGAATTTAGATCAAGATAATATTTCAGAATTTTGGTTTATACATCAAGAAAACAGACACACATACCTAGGAAAGATTTATATAATAGATAATCATCTTAATGTGAAAGATATATTTGAAGTATTAATTTTAATATATTAAATATGATTTCTGTTATAGTCTTATGTATGGAATTTTGTCATTTGAGATGATCTGCAAATAAATAATACCTTCAATGGAAAACCTTGCCTCCTACTTCATTAAAAAAATTGAGGCTAGCCAGGCGCAGTGGCTCATGTCTGTAATCCCAGCACTTTGGGAGTCTGAGGCGGGCAGATTTCATGAGCCCAGGAGTTCCAGACTAGCCAGGACAACATGGCAAACCCTGTCTCTACAATAAATACAATAAATTATCTGGGTGTGGTGACACATGCCTGTAGTTCCAACTACTTCAGAGGCTGAGGTGGGAGGATCACTGGAGCCCAAGAGGTTGAGGCTGCAATAAGCCATGATTGTGCCACTGTCTCCAAAAAAAAAAAAAAAAACTGACCCTGTCTTTCTCGGCATTCAGCCTTGCCTCTTTAGCTTCAGCCTCAGATAATGGGATATCTCCTCTTCAAGATCAAGCCTCCTACCAGGGCTCCTAACACTTTTGCCTCCTGTATTGTGTCAGAAATTAAGATAACTTAATGCAATTCCTTTCAGTTCCCTACAACCTTCGACCTTAACCCATATCCAGACACTGTCCCAGAGAATAAGATGTCATGCCTCAAATTCAAACCCATAAGCTTTGGATCCTATTTCTTCCTGCCTTTTCTGGAGTGTTTGTCCTTTACAATGTATTCTTTCTGATTCTCTTTCTCCCTTTCTCCCTCCCTCTCTTTATCCCTCTTCTTTAAGTTCTCCCACTGTACAGATTCCTTTCTCTAGTCTTACAAACGTTGAAATCTTTCCCATCTAAAAAGCAGCATGAAACTTTGCCTTAGGCCCAAATACCTGTCCAGCTACGGCCCATTTGGATTTTTTTTTCCCTCATTTCATTGTCTTAAAATGACAGGGTACATGTGGCAGCCAAGAGAATGTGCCTCAAAGACCTCCAACTATGAGGCATTTAATTGCCCAAAAGGCCCCAGCTGCTGTATTCTGAAATCCGTCACAATGTTTGTGCCAAGACCAGGCTTCCCACAGGCTGCTCTAGCCAATGACTGAGTGTTGCAGGGATACTAAGGCAGACCTGTTGCTGAAAGATGCAGAACCCCTCACAAGCTTGCTAAACCTGCAGAATGCTCTGAGATACTTCTAACCACCCCTCTTCCTGCCTTTATTGGTGAAGATTTGCATAGCAGTGTGAGAGCTCATCCAGCCTTCTCCAGCTCCCTTCCCATTTCCTCTCACACATGTATTCTCCCCCACCCACGTATATATTCCTCCCCTCCCATTTTCACTCCGTCTTGGTGTCTGCTTTCCAGAGAATCCAAACTGAACACAGGACATCTGAAGAGTTCGTAAAAATATTCATTTTTCTCTGCAGATCAACAAATAAAAATCTCTAGGGAAAAAAACTTTGGAATTCATTTTTCCTTAACTCTAAATACGAGTTTGATGCCCAGTCACATTTGAGAATCTCCCATCCCTATTCATTCTTTGCCATATGCTCAGGGTATATTCAGTCTTCAACTTACTACACCTTGATCTCTGGTATGATTACTCTGAATTCATCTCTACGTGACATCCCACAGGTGCCTGTAACTCATGGAACTCAAAAACGAACCTCTTTCCCTTTTTAAGCTAATTATCCTTCCTGTAGATTCTACCTCAGTGACATCTGAATCATCCAGTCGTCCCAGCTCAAAACATGGAGGCTGCTCTCTTTCTCCTCTTTTATTTTCCATATCCAATGAAATTTCATTAAACAGAGCTCCTAGAAAACAAATGTTTTGTCTTACTTGTTTTTATATTTCTTACTTTGTCATATTTGAAGCCCTTCATTATATATTCATTAATGAAAAAATAAATAAATGATGTGTCTGCAAGAACTGTGTGAATTCTGTGGGCTGCCACTGTAACTTTTTCTTAATTACTATTTCGGATGCCATAAGAGATTAAGTAAATTGATGACCAAGAAATGTCTGTTTGATTTACCAACATGTATGTCACTGGCCACCTTAGAAAGATTCACTGAAGCAATCAAGACCAAGCTGAGTGCATTGATGTCACCATCAGGCTTTCTGAAAACAGATGGGATAGAGTTTGAGGAAAGAGATGTCTATTAAGCATCAGTATCTGTGAAAGGAAGGGGAGGAAGCAAGATTGGGCAGAGAAGAAGGTTGAACATGATGCAAGCCTGACAAAGCTTTAGCCGACCAGACTGGGGCCTCTGGAGTAAATGTGGCCCAATACTTATCTTCCTTCAGGCCAAAATAGCCAGGCTTTGTGACTTTGCCTTGCTCATCATTATCTGTGGGCCATCCTGGAAAGGTCATGACCTGTACAAGATGACATTGCACAGTCATGAACAGTTTCCATTCTGTTCTCTCCAGGAAAACATTAGGCTGTATGTATATTCTCCTAAAGTAGGCTGGAGCATAGGCACAATCTTCAGCTTTATTTGCAAATCTGAGAAATGAATAGATGCTCAACAAGTACTTCTCATCTTTGGGGGTTCATCTGCAACCAGTAATTCCTCTGTAACTCTCTCCACAGCCTACTGAGTTAGAAAAGTTTCACAAATGTTGGAAAAGTATTTTTAAATACCAACCTATTAATGGTCTTCCTCCTCGGTTTAGATAATGATTCAGTTATTATTCATGATTGGCAGCAAGCAACAGAAATTTACTATTGCCCTTGAGTAACTTACTCATGAGTCAAAGTCCTTGGAGAGGGAACTCCATTGACAGTGCTTGAGTCATGTGCCTGACCATGTGGTGGGGGGAGGGAGGGTTCTAACCCTTCAGCTCCCATAGTAGCAAAAAGTCACCTAGAATTAGCCTCCCAAACAAGACTACATTTAGTGGCGGAAAGATAATGTTTCAATAAAAAATTCAGGGAAAGCAAACTCGACCCCATGAGTGAAACAGGGCATATAAAAAAATTTTTTTTGAAACAGGGTCTCACTCTGTTGCCCAGGCCAGAGTGCAGTGGTGCCATGTTAGCTCACTGCACCCTTGACCTCCCAGGCTCAAGTGATCCTCCCACCTCAGCCTCCTCAGTAGCTGGGACTATAGGCAAGTGCCACGGGGCCTGGCTAATTTTTTATTTTTGTAGAGGTGGGGGTCTCACTATGTTGCCCAGACTGGTCTCGAACTTCTGGACTCAAGTGATCCGCTCACCTTGGCTTCCCAAAGTGCTGGGATTACAGGCATGAGCCACCACACATGACCAAAAGTGTTTTAAGAGAAGATCAACGTAAATTCTGCTTACATATTAAACACATATTAATATTTCTCTTATGTATTATTTTCCCTCAGTTTTGTTGAAGAATTTGGTCCTTTATCATTCCTTGCCTACTTTTGATACAGACATTGGTATAAAATTGGTTTTGTCCTATGAAGAATACCATATTGGCATGATGATAAATGGTCACTGATAATCAGCTTTGGTGTGGAGACCAGTACAGAAGGTGGGGGACCATGGTAAACTGCAGAATATGAGGCCTGTCCATGGGAATGAGTTGCTAATTATGCTGGGTATCTATTGTTTGGCCTCCAGATTCCCCCTCTCCAACCATCTCCATCCTGTTCTGTGCCTCTTGAGACCAACCTTTACGGATTGCCTCAAGAGGCTCCCTTGACTTCTAGCTGCCAGTTTCATTGCGCCTGTTGGGGAGCACTAGCACTCAATGAGAGGGACAGAGGGTGTGGTTTGGAGATTTATTTCTGCAGCATCCTCCCAAAGAGGTCCTTACAAGCTGCCAGTGTTCTTCACTCAAAGGCCACAGCTCTGTTGGACAGGCTTTTCCACATTGTGCTGGCTCTCTGGGTTCCAGTGCTTCTCCCTGGACTTGCTCCTTCAGAATTGCAACCCTTCCCATGTTTACCAGCCCTAGGGTTCTGTCTTATTTTGTGGCTTCCTGACATTCTGTTCACATATTTGTAAACAATCCCTGAATGAAGCCTTCCTCAAATTTCCCAATTTGAGTTTGCTCTTTGTCTCCCATGTAGGCCCTGCTGATGTATGTATGTATGACTCAGCTCCGATGAATTGTGGGCCCAGTGTTGATTCTCCTATTTTTCAAGAGAAGCTGAATATCAAGGTTTATATGTAAAATTTCCAGTTGTTTTTATCGTAAATTGAATTTTTTAAATGCACTATTCAGAGCAAAAAAATAAAATCTCTGTAGGTCAGATTTGGCCCATGCAGTTCGTCTACAACCTCTGCTATTTATGATAAGAAATAAATCAGATGAAGGACAGGCCACTCTATCTATCCAACCCTGCCAATATTGTGGAAACTTTATGTATAGATGAGTGATGAACAAGATGTATTGCCAGATACCATCACTTTTAGTAGCACCAAAGGCCGTTGAGTAGTTCAATAAGAGTATGATCACAGAAAAGTAATGTGGCCGCACAACATTCTTTAGCATCTGAAATTTTGCAAATACCACCACCTGAAACCAAACAGAAGTTTAAAGTCAAACTGTGGTTTGGGATGTGCTCAGCTGAATGTAATATTCTTATATAATGTAGTCTGTCTGGGGCCAGGTTGTTATCAGCAAAGGAGAGCAAACAAATATCTGCTATGACCACCAAGGTAAGCCCTCTCATCTCATTTCTTGGAAATAGATCTTTGAAATATTGTCATATTTTTCAAAAACTTTATATTAAGTTCATGAAGTTTTATTTAGTAATATAAACCATATCTTCCCTTTCAGCTTAATGATCTCAACACATATGTCATCATACATGAAAGCTTAGCTTTCCATCATGTCTCTAGCAGCAATACTAAAGTGAATCTGTTGTTTGTTTGTTTGTTTGTTTGAGATGGAGTCTCGCTCTGTCACCCAGTCTGGAGTGCTGTGGTATAATCTTGACCCACTGCCACCTCTGCCTTCTGGGTTCAAGGGATTCTCCTGCCTCAGACTCCCGAGTAGCTATGACTACAAGTGCATGCCATCATGCCCGGCTAATTTTTTGTATTTTTAGTAGAGATGGGTTTTCACCATGTTAGCCGGGATGGTCTCGATCTCCTGACCTAGTGAATAGCTTGCCTCAGCCTCCCAAAGTGCTGGGATTACAGGCGTGAGCCACCATGCCCAGCCAAGGGAATCTTTATTAATCTTTTTTAGTTATGATGAAATTTAGGTTACAATACTTATTTTGAATATTTTGAATTTGCTTAATTCAATATGCTTGTCAGAGGTTCACCCTCAATGGTGGAAGCTGTGTTAAGTAAAGCACTGAAATCCTCTTGCCTCCCACATGCCTCAGAAAACCTGAGTTTTCTTTTGGCTTCTTATCTTTAATATGTATGAATTTAAAAGATCTTTTTACCTTTATTGTGTATGGCTTCTTATCTTTAATATGTATGGATCTAACCACTATAGTTTAGTGCTTAGTGTTACCTAATTTCCAAGATCTAAATAAATGTACAGAACTATAAAAACCAAAACTGCAAGGTATTAAAGAACACATATAGGTGTTTGTGCCTTCATCTAGAGGAGAAACAACAAAGATCTCCACTATTCATAATGTCTCTATCTGTAGAAGTAGACTTAGTAGGAAGATATCTTAGGTTGGTGTTTTCATCCATTGGGACTGCTGTAACAAAGTACCATAGACTGGATGCTTATAAAGAATAGAAATGTATTTAGTACAGTACTGGAGGCTGGGGAGTCCAAGATCAGGATGCCAGCATGGCCAGGTTCTGGGGAGGGACCTCTTCCAGAATGCAGACGCCTAGTTCTTCTTCTGTTTTCACGCTACAGCAGAGAGTGAGCTAGCTTTCTGGCCTCTTCTTATAAAGGCACTAATCCCACCCATGATGGTTTCACTATCAAATACTCAACCTCCCAATACCATAACACCAGGGACTATGCTTCAACAATCCCTAAGCACCCAAAGGCCCAACCTCTCAAAGACCCAACCTCCAAACACCATCACACTAAGGACTGTGTTTCAACATATGAAACTTGGAGGTGTGGCAAGCACAAGCAATCAGTCCACAACATTCCGATTCCCTAGAAGCAGAGCTCAAGACAGGAATTCTTGTGCAAGGGATTTGCTACGGGCGTGCTCTCAGGAGAAACCTATAAGGAGTGAGGACGCAAAAGAGCACAGGAGAAGTTAGGCAAAGATGTAGATGCAGCTAAAGCCCAGCCTCAGCCTAATTCCACAGCAAGAAAAGCATCACTGAATTATGTTACCTTGAGGCAAGTGGTGGGGGGGCTTTTATACCCTCCCAGTGAGTCATTTGCTGCTGGAGGAATCCCCCTTCCTCAACCTCAATTTTCTACAAATCTCTGGGCACCATTGCCCCTTCAAGCCAAAGGCAATTTTCAAAAGTAAATTTCATGTGGGAGCTTTACCAACCAACTCTTATATCAGCTGAGGAATAGGTTCATACACTAGGAAAAGTTAATAGAGATTAATTGGAAGTAATTTTTCTGCAGGAATAGTGGTTCTGTCATTGACTAGAAAGAGACATAAAGGAGTATATTTTATGGACCAGACCCTAGAGCTGACTCTCCCCACATCATTAAGGGTTTGTTCTGGCTTGCCAGGGCCCTGTGAGCATCCCGAATCATTTCAGCTGTAACATCACCTAAGTAACAAAATTTATACTGAGTAAGTTGAGATGCATTTGAGAGGTGAATATTCATTTCAAGCCTATTTCTTGTTATTCTACATTTTTTATTCATTTATTTGAATGGTAAAATGGTCCAATCTCAGCATTTAAGTAAGTTACATTCATGCTGCATTATCATCATCATCTTCATCATATTTGAGCTTAGTATTTCCTTAGTATATTGAGTGCTTAGTATTTGCAGGCCATTGTGCTAAGTGCCTAATGGACCTTGTCTTATTTAAACCTTATATCAACCCTTTCAAGTGAGGGTCATTTTACTATATTATTTATTTTTATGTATTTATTTATTTATTTTTGAGATGGAATCTCACACTGTCACCCAGTCTGGAGTGCAGTGGCACGATCTCAGCTCAACACAACCACTGCCTCCCAGGCTCAAGTGATTCTCCTTCCTCAGCCTCCTGAGTAGTTGGTATTAAAGGCATCTACCACCACGCCCTGCTAATATTTGTATTTTTAGTAGAGATGGGGTTTCCTCATGTTGGTCAGGCTGGTCTCGAACTCCTGACCTCATCATTTTACTATTTTAAAAAAATGAGGCTTAGAGATGATACATGATTTGCCCAAATTACAAAGCCAATAAGGTTTACACCCTGTGCCCAAGGTCTTAATTGTGATATCCTGCTTTCATTTTATATATGACACACACTTCTCCCTAATCTCAAAAGATAATAATAATAAGCAATAAACAAAGAAAAGCTTCAAAATTATCAGTAAGACACAAGGAAGTCAGAGATTAGAAAAACTGCTGGTTCTTTTTTATTATGATACAGATGACAATCAGAATAATATTAAATAAAGTCAAAATCCTAGTTTTAAGAGAGGAAGTTATAAGCCTAATATATACATTTAATTAATATTAGGTAAATTTGGTATTATGAGCTGTAAAATTTATAATAACTGAAGAAAAATGATGACAATATATTAGGATTGACTGTTTAGCAAACATATCTAAGGTTACATATCCAGAATAGTATTGTTACCTCCAAAGTAGCCAATATTAGGGATGTAAGCCTATTTCAATATTTTGTATAAAATTAAGATTTATCAGTATATCAGAAGAATACCTGGCCAAGTGCTACAGCTCATGCCTGTAATCCCAGCACTTTGGGAGATGAAGGTAGGAGGATTTCTTGAAGCTTGGAGCTTGAAACCAGCCTGGGAAACATAGCAAGACCATGTCTCTACCAAAAATAAAAAATATAAAGTTAACTGGGCACAGTAGGGCATGCCTGTAGTTCCACCTATTCAAGGAGGCTGAGGCAAGAGAATCCCTAAAGCCCAGGAGTTCAAGCCAGCAGTGAGCTATGATCACGCCCACTGCACTCTAGCCAGAGTGACAGACCCCTGCCTCTAAACAAAACAAAACAAAACAAAAGGGATAGTGCACAGCATGTTTATTGCAGCACTATTCACAGTAGCAAATATATGAAATCAATCTAACTGCCTATCAGCAGATGAATGGATAAAGAAACTGTGGTTTATATACACAATGAAACACTAGTCGGTCGTAGAAGAGGAATAAAATCCTGCCATTTGTGGTAACATGGATGCAACTGGAGGTTATTAAATTAAATGAAACAAGACAGGCACAGAAAGACAAATACTTAATGTTCTCACTCATATGTGGGATCTGGAAAAGTCGATCTTATGGTGGTGAAAGTACAATGATAGATACTAGAGGCTGGGAAGGGTGTGTTGGGAGGGGTGAAAGGTAGGGAGGACTAGAGGGTGGAGAATGGGCACAGACATGCAATTAGCTGGAAGGAATGTCTAATGTGTCATAGCACAGTAGGGTGACTATAGTTAACAATAATTCATTGCATAATTCATAATTGCCAAAAAAGAAGATTTGAAATGTTCCCAATACAAAGAAATAATGAACATTCAAGGTGATGGATAGCCTACACACCCTGACTTGATCATTACACATTCTATGCATGTATCAACATTTCACATGTATCCCACGAATATGTACAAATATTACGTATCAATAAAAATCTTATTATGCTGCCGGGCACGGTGGCTCATGCCTGTAATTCCAGCGCTTTGGGAGGCCGAGGCGGGCGGATCACGAAGTCAAGAGGTCGAGACTATCCTGGCCAAAATGGTGAAACCCCCTCTCTACTAAAAATACAAAAATTAGCTAGGCATGGTGGTGCACGCCTGTAATCCCAGCTACTCGGGAGGCTGAGGCAAGAGAATTGCTTGAACCCAGGAGGCGGAGGTTGCAGTGAGCCGAGATTGTGCCATTGCACTCCAGTCTGGGTAACAACAGCGAAACTCTGTCTCAAAAAAAAAAAAATCTTATTATACAAAAAAGGGGATGTAGAGAGATTCTATCCTTAAATTTGCCTTTAGGACTGAGGAAAAATGATTTTTAATATCTTTATTATTAAAATATTATGTTTACCTTTTGAAAGTGGATTTTATTTTTACAAGCTGTGACCTCACATTAATGATAGTTTCTTGTTTATCATAAATTGCCCCTAACCTTTTCAGTAATGGAAGATAAATTTCATTGAATGTTTAATTTTTAAATTTATAATAACAGTAAAACAGTTTTCCATCTCCCTCTCAGTTGCTTTTTAAAAAATATTTCTATTGTTATATAAAGCATCACAAATACATTTAAAGCTACCTGTGCACTTCATCCCAATTACATTTTGCTTTCTCTTTTCCTCCTTCCTAGGGAAAACTGTCACCCAGTTTTACTATTTATCATTTCCATGCATTTATTTATGTTTATTACATATGGAAATTTTTCAGTATTATTTTGTAGGTTTTTAAAAAAACTTTTTTTTTTTTTTTTTTTTTTGAGACGGAGTTTCACTCATGTTACCCAGGCTGGAGTGCAATGGCGCGATCTCGGCTCACCGCAACCTCCGCCTCCTGGGTTCAGGCAATTCTCCTGCCTCAGCCTCCTGAGTAGCTGGGATTACAGGCACGCACCACCATGCCCAGCTAATTTTTTGTATTTTTTTTAGTAGAGACGGCGTTTCACCATGTTGACCAGGATGGTCTCGATCTCTTGACCTCGTGATCCACCCGCCTCGGCCTCCCAAAGTGCTGGGATTACAGGCTTGAGCCACCGCGCCCGGCCTAAAAAAACTTTATATAGCTAGTATCATACTATATGTACTTTTCTTTTATCTTTATCTCTTTTTTTGTTTGGAGACAGGGTCTCACTGTTGCCCAGGCTGGAGTGCAGTGGCATGATCTCAGCTCACCATAGCCTCCACCTCCAGGGTTCAATTGATTCTCAGGCCTCAGCCTCCCAAGTAGTTGGGATTACAGGCACCAGCCACCACACCTGGCTAATTTTTGTATTTTCTGGTAGAGATAGGGTTTCACCATGTTGGCCAGGTTTTTCTTAAACTCCCAGCCTCAAGTGATTCGCCTGCCTTGGCCTCCCAAACTGCTGGGATTACACTCATGAGCCACCCACCCAACCTATACGTACTTTTCCACATCCTGCTTTCGTTGGTCCTCATTATGTTTGGAAAAGGTATCTAATTCTATTGAATTACTAACCTACAGATATTTCTATTTTTCAGTTAAAGACCATGTTAGATTGTTCCCAATATTTTTGCTATCCTAAAGAAAGCTACTCTGAATGTTCATGTCAGAATTTCCTAGGACACATGGCTGAAGGTCTCTTTATGCCATAAACCCAGGAGTGTACCATAAATGGTAGGGTACGCAGGTCTGCACATCCTCCACTTGAATAGATACTGCCAAATGGCTTTTTGTGTCCTGTTTAAGAAATGCTTACCTTCACCAACTCATGAAGATATTATCCTGTGTTTTCTTCTAAAAGTTTTACAGTTTTACTTTTTACTTTAAGTTCTTTGAACCACCCAGAAATGTAGATCTCCCTTTCTCCCTCGCCCCAGTGTGAATAAGCAGATAAATAGTTTCTCTAGGCCATTTAATTACTGGTCCAAACCTCTCTACTAACATGCAAGGATATCATGTGCCAAGATTCCATGTATCTGGGTCTGTTGTGAGATTCTCTATTCTGTTCCATTTTCTATTTATTTAACATTTTTACAAAAGGTCTTGATAGATACTAAGGCAAGTCCTCTCACCTTCTTCATTTTCTTCAAACCTGTGTTGGCTGTTTCTGCTACACGTAATACAACACTGGATTCAACTTGCTAATATTTTCTATATGAGTTTTGGAAACTGTGATCATAAGTGTCATCTACAAATTGGCCTGTATTATTGTTCAGTCAACTGCATTTGGTTTGGAAACTAAGGTTATGTTAAGCTCATAGAAGCATGTAAGGGATGCCTTCTCATTTTATTTTTTGTAGAAGTATGAATAAGATTAGGGTTACCTGGTCCTTAAATGTTGTGTTTTCTTTGTTTGTTTTAATTTTCGGTTTTGGTTTGTTTTTGTGTTTGTTTTTTTGGTCTTTATTTGAGACAGGATCTCTGTTGCCTAGGCTGAAGTGCAGTGGTACAATCATGGCTCACTGCAGCCTCGAACTCCTGGGTTCAAACAATCCTCCTGTTTCGGTCTCCTCAGCAGCTGGAAATACAGGCATGCACCACCACATCCAGATAATTTTTTTTAATTTTCCTTTTTTTCTTTTTCTTTTTTTTTTTTTTTTTGTACAGACAGTGTCTCCTTACATTACTGCGCTGACTTCGAACTCCTGTCCTCAAATGATCCTCCTGCCTCAGCCTCCTGAAGTGCTAGGATTACAGGCATGAGCCACCACATCCGCTCTCTTAAATGTTTTGATATGATTTACTTATAAAACTATTTAAATCCAGCACCCGACCAGCCTGGGCAGCAGAGCAAGACCCTGTCTCAAAAAAAAGAGAAAGGAATATAAATAAAACATTTAAGATAGATATTGCTATTGCAGGTAGATTTTAAAGTATCTATCCATTGGGTTTTTAATTTTATATATTTTTTTCCTAAGGTCTACTTGATTACTTTTCAAATCCATCTGATAATTTTTAATTGCTTGTTTTGTATTCATAGTTTTTTAGTCCATCTTTTATTCTCTTAAACATTTTAACATCATTATTTGTATTACGTATGAATAATTTTATTATCTGAAATTCTTTTTTTTTTTTTTTTTTTTTTTTTTGAGACAGAGTTTCACTCGTTACCCAGGCTGGAGTGCAATGGCGCGATCTCGGCTCACCGCAACCTCCTCCTCCTGGGTTCAGGCAATTCTCCTGCCTCAACCTCCCGAGTAACTGGGATTACAGGCACGTGCCACCATGCCCAGCTAATGTTTTGTATTTTTAGTAGAGACGGGGTTTCACCATGTTGACCAGGATGGTCTCGATCTCTTGACCTCGTGATCCACCCGCCTCGGCCTCCCAAAGTGCTGGGATTACAGGCTTGAGCCACTGCACCCGGCTATTATCTGAAATTCTTAGTGGGGAGTATCATTCTCCGCTTTTGTGATTCTGCTGATTCTTGCTTACCTTTGGGTGGGCTTTTTCTGAAGGAATCCTGCGATGTCTGGGACAAGGGTGCATTTTTCCAGAGATTTATCTCTGCATCTTTTGGGTGTCCCAGTTTACTAAGTCAGGACTTCAAGAAAATATATTTACTTGGAATTTCCCAGACGTTGTCAGTAAGTGTAGATGGGAACTTTGAAATTGTGACAGCATGCTTGAATCCTCAAGGGAGTCTTTCATTCCACACTCAGAGTCCAAAACTGAACAGACAG